CCGACCAGATCGGCGTTCAAATTCGGCCCTTTTTCCAGTTGTTCGTTGAGTGAAGCAACTCCTGGGGGATGAGACGAAGCGTCGAAGACGACTCTCAGCCTGGTAGTCTCGGATTCATTCCGAATTACGGGCTGATGGGGCATTTAATAAATCCGTGGGTTTTGGGTTTGTCAACTCGGCGCAAAATGGAATCGTTGAAACTTTTTCTGCGTGCCCTGAGGTGATGTAGCTGCGTATGACGTTGTCGTAATCTTTTGCGAAGGACTCGTCGCGTGACAATCTCTTCTTCAAACTCCCAAGACGTTTCAATGCCAGCGTGCGGTTTTCCTTCAGTTCTCCAGCGCCGACCCTGAACGGTAGACCGACTTCGTACCGTCCATTCACTTTCCGTATTGTTCGGTTGAACTCGTTCAGCAGTTCGTTCTGTTCTTCCATCTTGCTGGAGGGCTGGTCAGAAATTCCGATGCTCTCTAGCTCCCAAAAACGCCGCAGGATGTCTCCGACGTCCTCGTTCGTGAAGCATTCCGTTCTTAGCACGCATACCATGCTGCTGGCGCTGCCTTTGAGAGAGCTGTGGTTTGACACTGGGCCTTGAAAGGTCCAGCCAAAAATGGTGCTTATAGCTACCAGCTTCTGATTTTCCTTGCAATGCAGCACTTGGTCACCGTTCACTCGCCACAACTGGTCTGAACCGACCAGAAGGGAAATGTCCTCTTCAGCAGTGGCCAGAAGGGAGAGGAGTATGTCCGCAATACGACGGCCGTTTTTCATCATACGGCGAACAAATTCGTGGTCGACGGGTACCTGCACAACATCCTTACAGATGAAGGGTACCTCGACGGCCTCGATGACGCACTCTTCTTGGCTGTATTGGCTGTGCAACCGTACTTGTACTAGTCGCCGACGTTGCGGTCGTGACGTGGAGTGGCCGAACGTATTTAGCCGGAGGATAACATATCCCAGAACCTTGAGGCCGAGTTTGCGAGAAAGATCCTCACGAATGAACGTCCGTTGGCTACCTCCATCGATAATGGCTCGCACGTAAAGTCTTTGGTTTCCTTCCTGAGCCCATGGCTCGGAATGTTTGAAGAAGCACTTCGGAATTTAATGGGATGTCAGCACTGTCGGAGATTGCGTTCTGGACGCTTGTCGCAGGGGCACCTCTATCCGATTTCTTCACGTTAGGTTTCCAGTTCGGGTCGCACATGGATGTGGCATGTCGACCGGAGCACGACGCGCATGTCACCTTCCGCCGACACTCCCTCGCCCGGTGCCCTCCGATTGTGCATCTGAAGCAGCGGTTTTCTTCCGCCAGCCTCCTATTCTTCACCTCTAACGTGAGGTCGCCAGTACATACTTCTGTTACGTGCTTTGTGGACCGGCAAAAGAAGCAGGGGCTTGTGATATTTGCATCTAGCACAGAGGCTGCTGGCATTCTGGGTCTTTCAGTCTTTTTCTTCTGCGTCTCTTGCCGTTCTTCTACTACTCCGGCTCTCTCCCTACTCTCAACTTCGATCCGAAGGAAGCTTAGAATATCGGCGAGCTCATCTTCGGCATCGGCGAAAGAGGGCGGCCTTGAAGTGCTCCGGGTTGAAAGTGGTCCGTCGACAGAGTGTCTGGTGTCCTGCACCGCTGGTGAAGTCATTGAAGTCGGACTGTTTTGCGTTTTTCCCGTCGACCTGTAGGCAGTGCTGCTTGCCTGCTGCCGGTGATAATTTACGACGACTTCGCTCGGCAAGGCCTTGAGGAGGATATCGGACATCATCGTGCAGTACGTTGCCGATCCCACGCCGAGCCCTTTCAGACCTCGGATGTTCGTCTGGACGTGATCGTACATCTTTCGGAGGCCTTTCGTGTCTTTCGCGGAGGCAACAGGAGGCAGTGCTCGGAGCTTCGCCAGATGATTTTGCTCGATCCTTCGTTTATCACCGAAGCGCAGTGCCAGGATTTCAATGGCATCGTCGTAGCAGTCCTCAGTTGCCTGGAGCTCAGCGATGGCCGCCGCCGCTGGTCTGGTGACATGGTTGCGCAGGTACTGAAACTGGTCCGATCGTGGAATGCTATCGTTTTCGTGGATAGCACGACACAACTGCTCCCAGAAGCTCTGCCACGCGCTGACCTCGCCGTTGAAAGTTTGAAGTCGTAACTTGGGAAGCTTCACGCCGCTAGTCACGTTGCTGCGATTGCTTCCCAGGTCTGTAGTGGCAGTCGCAGATGTTGTCGCGGATGTGGTCATCTGGATGGCCTGTGCCTGTTGCTCTTTACGTCTCAGTGCGTCTGCCTTGCAGTCCAACAGCGCCATCATTCGGATGGCCTCGTCGTCGTACTCCGTGACCGTAGTGTATTCTGCGACGAGGTCTTGTTCCGATATATGATCTTCTATCTTCACGTTCAACTCTTGAAGAGCCCTGTTATTGGCCTTCAGCCTTTCTAGCCAGGCAGTCAGCGATGCCAGGTCCGTTGTCTCAATCCCCGCTGTCGCCTCGTGGATAATTTTCGTGTTTTGCGACCGCTTCACTCCACGTTTTGCCTTGAGACGTTCCATGTTTGACGATCTCCCACACAGCTCTCGGAAACAGCGTTCCAGGCAGGTGTTCCACAAAGGTGGAAAATCCGCCCACCTCAATCGTTCTCGTTCCCGGGTTTCGGCACCATAATGTCTCAGAATTGAAGAGGTCGTGTGGGCGTCGTATTTAAATCAGGCAATAAGCGTAAAACCAAAACACAAACTGTATTTACACTAATAAATCAATCAAATATACATCATTACAGAGAAGTGTCTCGATCGGCTTCTGTCATTCGCCTCGTTCCGCTCGTGCCTCGAGCCTTCTTCTTTCTTCTCGTTTCTCGTGAGCTTCAAATTCTTTCCAATCTGCAACAAGAGCCACGGAATGTTCCCTGACAAGCTTCGTTTCAGAACCAGATTTCCAATATGGCACTGCCCTGTGGGTTCGACGCGAAGCGCGTAAAGAGTAGCGTTCGTTATCGTGTGAGTTCTTCAATCCACGTTCCTGGCCTGTGGCGACACTGGTTTGTTTTTATAAATATTCTTTCTTTCCTTTTGAGCGGTGCGTGACTCGCCCCTCTCTTTCTCTGTCTCTCTCTCTCTCTCGCTTCGCTTCGAAACACATCGAAGTCGAGTGTTTCGCACCCCTTCAGACACAGACGTCTACTACACAGACGCGAGCCACACACCTACCAGGAGCAGAACGGCAGTGATTGGACCCCGATCATCTTCATCCCGTGAACACGAAGGAGTCCCTTCCTCGACGGCCGCAGAAATACTCGCCATCGCCGAAGCCATCACAGAACATACCCACTCACCCGATACAATTCTTATCCGCACAGACAACCAGGGAGCGTGCCGCTGCTTTCGAGACAATGACTTACCTTTCCACATACACTCCATACTACAACGACACCTTCACGCACACCCGCACCTACACATCAATATAGAATGGGTACCGGGTCATCAGGGACTGGGAGGAAATCTACGAGCACACACACTCTCCCGAGAGAATTCTAATCCGGGACCTCCCACCCTCTGGCCCGAACCCTATGACCCCAAAGAACACCGGAAACAAATGCACAAGGAACGTACAGCCTTGCTGCTCGAACTCAGACAACACACCACCACTTTACACACTCCCTCATTCATATTTAGCCGGTCTGACTCTACCCTTATTAGACGTGCACAAACACAGACTCTCATGACACCACACTACACTCACTTCATCCAAGGACGTCCTGGCCGACCAGTCTGCCCACATTGTACCGGCTATCCATCTAACATACACTACTTGTGGGACTGCCCTAATGCCCACACGTCGCGTAACCTACTTCTTTCACCCCTCTCTTCCCACCACCTCCCTCAGACCTGGACAGAGTGGGCCAACCCACCCAAGACACTCGATGCTACACTATGGCCCCTCCTCGTCCGACATGTCAAAACCATGCTTGGTGATGAATGGTGAAAAAAAAAAGGGAGCTCCGGACTTGGAGCGAAAATAAAGGTTTTCTCTCTCTCTCTCTCTCGAGTGTTAGGCTTAGCGTCTGAGGCGTAGAGTTTGAAACGCAACACCAGCGCAACTGGAGCGAGCAAACGAGCCGGCAATCTTCTTCAGCTAAGCAGATGAGCGGCTTAGGGTGCCTCAATGTCCTGGCACCCTAGAGCGGCTATTTGACATAAAAAAAAAGAAGAACTAGAGAATCTCAACGCACGTTCTGTTCGGTTCTAAATCATCCATGCACAGAGCTCCCACCCGTGCGTACCAACCGTAGCCGTGGTAACGCGGATACTTTTTACGTAAGTTTTTTGTTGTTGTTGTTTTGGGCCGATTCACAAAATGGCCGACTGATCATTTCCGCCACAAGCTAATCCAGCCAATGGGAACTGGATTCTGCGAGACTGACTTCCGGTAAACGGACTGAATGGAATTCGGCACTCTGGGAACATTCAGTGGTCCTAGACCCTCAATATATTACGTCGGTGAAAGCAGGCATCCTACTATGTACGTCATAATGTATATATCTTCGCAAACCGTGGAAGGCCGACCACAGTGCGGGTATTGTCACGGGTGGTGACCAAAAGAAAACAGGAAATAAACAGGGAGAAATAAACGTTTAATGTGGCGAACTTGTGCCGAAAAATAAAAGGGTACAAAGATAATAACAGAGCGTCGCGGGCGTCGAAGTCGGCGTAGCAGCACAGTCGAACGCTGGGGCGAAAACTGACTGCAGATCGCCACGCGGAGCCCCTTATGTACACATGTGGGCTTCTGGAATAATCGGCGTAGAAGGTTCGGCGTGTGGAACATTCTAACCTCGAATCAGCCAGACGGTTCTCGATTTCACCAGAACATCACATTACAGTGTTAACAAAAATGCATAGCCGCGGCCAGGAATCGAACCCTGGCCCTTCGCGTGGGAGGCAAGCGCGATAACCGTTAGGCTACGGCCGCGCCGCCTACTTGGCGCGCGGCAGTATATACATTGACGCAAGTAAAATAGAATAGCAACGAACAAGGAACATTAAAAATAGGAAAAGTTAGGAAGTAAAAAAAAAACGAGAAAGAGGGGGGTTATGTATTGTCATCCAAGATTGTCGAAATTCACCTATTAGCCGCCACCTGATTCCCTAGCCTACGCCAATAAAATGTTCAAACCACAAGTCGTGCGTGGCAATGCATTCTTTTTTTTTATTAAATTATATGTTAAACAACAAAGTTCATTGGTTACATGACACTAGGATACAAATAGGACGATGGGACTTGAGCGAAGCATCGTGCACACGGAATGTCCGGCCAGTTTTATAATTGAACTCGGAGACGTTGGGAACACGTAAAAACATCGCACGGCGGGGGGCTTTTGGATGGCGCCCACTGACGTCACTAGAGGAATATAGCGGACCACCGCCCCGAGTGCAGCTGACCATATAATGCTGGTGGCGCCGTCGGCATATTTATGTGCTGATCTTTTTGTGTATTTGGATGACCTTTTTGCAGCGTACAAAACTAAAAATAAAACCTCAGACAGCGTTGGAGGGAAGCTTGACGAGGATCTGCAAAGAGGTGCAAGAAGGCAAAACAATTGACAGAAACACGGAAAAGACAACACGACGACACGTCACTTCTGCGCCATGAAAGAACCTATCAGAATAACTAGAGACTCCCATACTCGCATTCACGTCAAGAGCCTAAGTTTAAAAAGTCCGGCTTCTTGAGGAGCACTACTAATTTTTCCTTCGTGCGTTAAATGAATATATACGTAGGCACACCTTAGTTATGTTATTTTATCGAGACGTACACTTTTCAGGCGCAAAAAACATCGCTGCTTCCTTCCACAACCAAATATTGCAAAAACTATAGACGTCTCTCGCATAACCTCGTACCAGCGCGAAACCGACGTACCCTCGACCTGGTGCGTTCGTGGATTGCCCGCTGACGCAGGGTATGCAAGCGCCAAGGGTACGGGCGAAAAGGATTAGAAACGGATGTCGTGTGTGAGTTAGTACCCAGCTTTTTACTGTGTTACAATTTTCGGAAACCTACGGTTGTCTGGTTGTCACTGCGTAGTCGCCGGATGCACACATAATTTTAATAAGCATAAGAACAACCACGGAAAGTAAGCGATGGGCACGGGAAGCTGCAGCACGAGTGTGACTGCAATGTCATTGAGCTTCACAGTTTCCCCAAGGATTCTTATTTATGACGTCAGTCGATTGCGAGCTTTAATCGCGAGGTCTTTATATCAGACTCATCGTCACGTTTGTGCTCACGATTACTTCGTCTAAGGCAAGAGAAGCGATTCCAACCCGGTGCAGGTGCTCCGAATATAGTTATCACTGCAAGGCGCTATTGCTTCATGGCAGGGGTGGTAAGGCTAACCCGGCCTAAAAGCCTCAAACAAAACGACGAAACTTCCGAGAGCCGTGGGGGGAGGGGAGGGGGGGGGCAAACTTTTGTCTAAAGCAATAAACGAAAGTCGAACTACTTTCAATCTATCAGAGTCAAAAGTAGTTGAACTGTACGTACACTCTCAGAAAAAAAGGTGTATTATTACACCCCTTGTCCCATATAATACACCCCCGAACTTCAATTCGACGTAGAGCGCTCCATAATCGAACAGGCGGCCCCAAAGTTTACGAGGGGCTTGATAGCCGTGTGGTACAACTTATTAAGATAGCTGATGTACGTATTATTGACTACAAAAAAGATTATCGCAGTTTTCTTGGCCGTACTGCAAAAGCTCCGTGTTTTCCTTCTTTGGTCTTTGATACATACTTTAGCAATTTAATAAGTTATATCGCACCGTTATCAAGCCCCTGGTAAAATTTGGTGCCGTCTGTTCGACTATAGGGCGCTGTACGTCGAAATGAAGTTTTGGGGTGTATTATATGGGACAAAAGGGTGTAAGGTGATACCCTTTTTTTTAGAGTGTGTAAGGTAGCAGTAGCACAAGACTACCAAACCGCTACCTGTCTTTCGATTTAAAACGCGTTCCATTTCTCTTTTTGGGGAAGTGCTCGTGTGACCGGGAGGGTGTGGGTGTATGTGTGTGTGTGTGGGGGGGGGGGGGGGGGGGAGGGGGGGGGGGGGGAGGGAGCCGCGAGCCGCAGTGCAACACGCGAAGAGCCGCATGCGGCTCGCGAGCCGCAGCTTGGCCACCCCTGCTTTATGGCATGTGACGAGTATAAAAACGTCTACGTGAAGCCACTCAACACGCAGCTATCAAATACCGAGAGCTTACCTGCACAGACCGCATTAAACTCTTCATATATACCTTCGCTGTGTAACCTCTATCAAAACACCCGTACCGTCTTCGTCCTCCTTTTGAGAAGGTAAGGTGATGGCTTGAGCCAGCTGGATTCCACCGGACAAGTTCCAGCCAAGTTACTGTTGTAGCCCACCATAGCAAAGTCTAGCCAAATTCCCCCCTACCCACACCGTTGCCTAACCAGATAGTTATATTAAAACTTGGGTTTGGGCTAGTTGGTCCATTACTGAATAAAAGGTTAAAAAGCGCGAACAAACGAGGACAAAAAAGAAACACGGACGACAGGACAGGCGCTTCACTCTCAACTGGTTTTTATTAACACCATTGTCACCTATATATACACATTGCCCAAACCACATCGGATTCAATCGCGACAATCAGAGCCAACCTTCCAGAAACACCATCTCACTCTGGAGCAAATACAAAGACGGAGCGCTGACGCAATTGTTTTCTTTCTTTTTTATATAGAATGCCTCTATAATCTCTCTTTCCGTTTTTTCCTTTGCCTTTCTTAAAAACTTTGTGCCAGACAGGTCAGGTTTACATCCACATCGCCTACAATGGTCAGCGAGATGGCCCCCCGCGTTGTTGTGCACACACAAATTATGTTCACGTGCTCTATCATTGAAGCAGCGCCCAGTCTGCCCAATGTAGACTCTGCCACAACTAAACGGAATCTCGTACACCACATTGGTGACGCACGCAGTATATTGCACCGCGTGTTTCTTGGAGCACGGTGCCTTCTTCTGCCTTGTCAACATCGGACATATCCTGGCTAGTTTACACGGTGCAGAAAAAACCACGTCAATGTCGTATCTACCAGCTACCTTTTTTAGATTATGAGATACGGTATGCATGTACGGAATGACTTGCACTCGTTTCCTTTCTTTACGTGCCTCGCTGCCTTTTTTACTTCTTTTTAGCTTTTGAAGAAGGCTCTCACAACAACTAGAGATTAGATTAGGGGGTACCCCGCGTCTGTAAACCTTTTTGATTGTCGTTCAAAACTGATTTTCATCTGGTGGTTGCAACTCTTTTCCAGAGCCGCACTTAGACATGTCAAGGCTATACCCCTCTTTACCAGTTTAGAGTGAGCACTTTCAAACAACACCAGGCTTTTCTTAGTGCGCAAACAATACTGCTAAAAGACATGTTCTTCAGAAAAAAGGATCAAAATGTCTAAAAACTGAATGCAGTTATTCACAGGCAATTCCCAGGTAAAATTAAGTCCGCCTGACACCTCCCTAAACAGTCCGACAATCTTCTCACCCGTTTTATCCAACCCCGAATCTGTATCTAAAATTAAAAAATAGTCATCTACGTATCTGTACGTCTTTTTGGGCATTTTTTTTTGGCATCCCTGGACCGGCAAATTTCAGATAGACTTGCAGATTTCCATGTTTTAAAGACGTACAGATACGTAGATGACTATTTTTTAATTTTAGATACAGATTCGGGTTTGGATAAAACGGTTGAGAAGATTGTCGGACTGTTTAGGGAGGTGTCAGGCGGACTTAATTTTACCTGGGAATTGCCTGTGAATAACTGCATTCAGTTTTTAAACATTTTGATCCTTTTTTCTGAAGAACCTGTCTTTTAGCAGTATTGTTTGCGCACTAAGAAAAGCCTGGTGTTGTTTGAAAGTGCTCACTCTAAACTGGTAAAGAGGGGTATAGCCTTGACATGTCTAATGGTACGTTTACACTTGCGGATCCGCTAGCGGATCCGCCCACCTTTTGCCGCTGGGGCGAAACGCTGGGCGGGAAACGCGGCGGCGAGCCGTTTTGGTCCAGGACCTATTTCTGCCGCCGAACGAGGCGTTTCGCTGACCGGAAGTGACATTCTTGCGCGGCGCGACGCTGCCTACGTCACGGGGGCGCGTTCTTCCGGGAGCAGCAACGCCCGGGAGAGAGAGCCGAGGCGGGAACTCTCGCGCCTTCTCGTCATATTTGACGAGATGTTACGGGAACCGCTGCTGCTCGAAGGCAGTAGATGTAAACACAACCCGCTCGTCGCCGCCGCCGCCGGGAGCGGATCCGCTCCCGCGGCAGCGGATTTCTTTTCAGGTGTAAACGTACCATAAGTGCGGCTCTGGAAAAGAGTTGCAACCACCAGATGAAAATCAGTTTTGAACGACAATCAAAAAGGTTTACAGACGCGGGGTACCCCCTAATCTAATCTCTAGTTGTTGTGAGAGCCTTCTTCAAAAGCTAAAAAGAAGTAAAAAAGGCAGCGAGGCACGTAAAGAAAGGAAACGAGTGCAAGTCATTCCGTACATGCATACCGTATCTCATAATCTAAAAAAGGTAGCTGGTAGATACGACATTGACGTGGTTTTTTCTGCACCGTGTAAACTAGCCAGGATATGTCCGATGTTGACAAGGCAGAAGAAGGCACCGTGCTCCAAGAAACACGCGGTGCAATATACTGCGTGCGTCACCAATGTGGTGTACGAGATTCCGTTTAGTTGTGGCAGAGTCTACATTGGGCAGACTGGGCGCTGCTTCAATGAAAGAGCACGTGAACATAATTTGTGTGTGCACAACAACGCGGGGGGCCATCTCGCTGACCATTGTAGGCGATGTGGATGTAAACCTGACCTGACTGGCACAAAGTTTTTAAGAAAGGCAAAGGAAAAAACGGAAAGAGAGATTATAGAGGCATTCTTCATAAAAAAGAAAGAAAACAATTGCGTCAGCGCTCCGTCATTGTATTTGCTCCAGAGTGAGATGGTGTTTCTGGAAGGTTGGCTCTGATTGTCGCGATTGAATCCGATGTGGTTTGGGCAATGTGTATATATAGGTGACAATGGTGTTAATAAAAACCAGTTGAGAGTGAAGCGTTTGTCCTGTCGTCCGTGTTTCTTTTTTGTCCTCGTTTGTTCGCGCTTTTTAACCTTTTATTCAGATAGTTATGCTGCCAAAATCAGCCGGGATTTCAAGTTTTAAGTCGTTAGACGGCGTCGTCGGCGCCACAATTCTTAAGGTGGCGGCGCTCTTAAAGAAGAAGGTCTATATAAGTATAGAGACCTTCTTCTTTAAGAGTGCATGAACAAGGCAATGACTTCCTTTTTTTTTAATGTGACAGCGAAGAAGAACCATTCGACATATGGTTAGGCCACCGCCATGACATGCATGCTTGTGTGGGCAAGAACATGTCATTACAAGGCTGCCAAATCTATATGTTCAAGCGCGTGCTGCACACCGGTGTTTTTCAGGCATGGGGAACCAGTCTGGACATCATACGTGTTATATAATGTTTTCACCAAGCGTTCCACCAAATTTTATCACTGACTGCAAATGAAGGCACACAATGCGGTTAAAGAATATTCTATAGATAAGACGACGTCGTACCGACGTAAATGCGTACTTGAACGGAATAAATGGCTCTTAGGCTGAGCAGTGCCATATAGAAGACAAAACCAACACATTAGTCATTGACAGTGGGATCCTCGACCCGGCCCAAGGGCCAACACATCGAGGACGCAATCGCAGGGAACGTGCATGTAAGGACGCTGCGACGTCGCAGGCCTTATCGCAGGCCTTATCGCATTGCTCTGAGTTAAGAGTGTATCAGTTAAACTCAGGCGCTGCCTGAACCAGGGTCTATTAAAGAACACTCTACGGAACTGCGTGTCGCCCTGCGTAAAGTTCATTATCAAGATATATACGATTGTAGCCACGAACCTGAAAGCTCCTCTCGAAGACAACAATCCGGCGGTCGACGTCGCAACTCATCATCTTAGGCAGGACTCTGGTGGCCCTCGAAAAAACGACGAGGCCTAACACCGTGCCGTTCCCCGTAGTCCTTCTGCCGACGGACAGTCGAAGCCCATGGACCGTGTGGCCTATGACCACATAGGTGGACGGTAGCGGTCCGTGGGCCCTCAACTGCTGCCAGCGGTACCGGATGCCGCGAGAGAGGGCCAGGTACTCGTACGTGAGCGCCAGCTGACAGCGACCCGACTGCTTCTCCGGGTCGATCACGTGGCAGCCGCGGTCGTCAGCCGAGCACGGCAGCAGACGTCCCCTGCAGGACGGGGCACGAAGAAAGAAGTGCCGCGATTCTCTGTTTATTCTTCAACGCTTGTCCAGATGAACGTACAACCAGAGGCACTGGAACCTCATACGACAGAGGATATGGTCATGGCGCTCCGCCGAGTACCATGCATAGCGCCTCTGATATGTTGCGTTTATCTGGACGAAACAAAATATAACATAACAGTGATCCTACCATCGATCCCTGATCGTACCTTCTCACATCCCATACCACCGAAGCTGAATTAACTATCACAGTCAGGTCTATATATTGCGTTTCAAGCGTCGTATACGTGTAGACCAACCCGTAACAAGCAAGTCAGCATTTGCACGTACCAAGCAGGGTTGCCAGGTAGGTTCTAGCTCAAACCACCAAATGCCAAAAGGTGTAGCCCAAAAGTGGCCAAATTCAAGAAATTCATAGAGCCCAAAAGTAGGCATAATTGAAATATCTGCAGAGCCCAAAAAATTGTGCGCTCGAATGTACGAGCTCAAGGTAAAGGGACGGCGTCTGCATATCTAGGGTAACGAGCAGTTTGCAAGATCTACACATCTTGAAATGCACTACAAAATTTTATTTCAAACACAAACAAGTATTAAAATTTTTCACACGCGTTTCTACAGAAACATATATCTTATGAAGCACTCGCTCGTGCTCGGCTGACAAGCTTCATACATGATTTCGGTGGTAAAACGGGCAAAACATTCTTCAGCGGGGTTGGTGTCCTTACATCACTCATTTCTGTCCAAGAAAGCAAGCTTTACATAGAGGATGTTTTGAAGAGTTCGAAGGAACATTTTGTTCCTTAGGTCTATGTGAGGGACCCGTGACTGAATACTCTCTCCACGGCGGCCTTCGACTTGTGCAGTGCCAGGAGCGCGACGGCAAGCTCGGATAACAACGGAAACATGGCCTTGTTCAGATTATTCATTGTTCTAAATCGATTGTGTTTTGTTATGGCTCATTCTGCTTTAAGAAACGTCTATGTTTCGCAAAAAACCTCCTTTGTCATATTAAATACATCACGCGTTATCCGACGGCATGAAAGTTTGCTGGACGTCTTGAGCCTCCTTTAGTGTCCTTTCTCCTCGGAAGAGGTGCCTCCTGTACGAGGATGGTGGAAAACTCGGGGAGATAAGAGACGGCGTAAGAAGGAGAAAAAACTTGGGAGCATAAGATAAGCCACAATAAATACAAAAGCGATGTCTTCGGAGCTGAATCTAAGACGGTAGCTCACTGGAGCTAATATGATCTTGCGACGCTCACGCATCTTCACACAGAAAATCCCTGAAAGCGGGAATCCTGAAACGGTGGACTCTCGCTTTGTGCCCATGCTGAAATGACTTTTGTACATCTACTCTAATTAAGCAAAAAAAAAAAAGCCGCGTTACACTTTGAAATAGCACAAATATAGCCACATAGGCAGCCGCCTCATTTCGACGCCAAATGCATAACAAAATAGCCCAATTTGGCTATTAATAGCCAAACCTGGCAACCCTGGTACCAAGTGCGGGCAATGCGCGTGGGCAGAAACTAGATTCGCGTGAAATGAGCGTTCTGCGCATGCGCTGTGCCGACAGCAACGTCACCGTAGCAGCGTGACGTCACAGCCGCAGAAACGTTGGGCGTGACTTATTAGTTTGCGCTTCTTTTTGCGGGATTCGTTCTTCTGCTTATTGACTAGTGCTGCGCTGTGAGCGATAATAAGATGTTCAAAACTCGCCATGCCCTGCGTTTTTTATTTTGTATTTATTTGCCAGTGAGTTTTGATATTAGAGACTTCGTTACTCAGTACATCACCTACACATAATGGAATTTTTTTATTATTTAAAGTAATTGAAAATCAGTTGTGAAAGTTTTTGCCAGGCGGTCACATCATAGAAATGAAGCATGGCTCTCGATCAAGAGGACTCACCGAATGGCGGTTCTGCCGACGACGAGAGATTTTCGTCGCTGTCGGGGGACCGCTTCCAATGCCCAGAGGGGGCTCATGCCCGTCGAAGTGAGAAGCCAGCGCTCGTTGGGGTACAGGTCCGGGAGCTTGGACAGCACCTCGAAGGCCGGCACCGTCCTCGGCGCGCCGCTGTCGGGACCGTACAGCATGCGCCTGAACGGGTTCAGCAGGCCCACGGGAGACGGTCTGTGCCGGAGGAACGTGAAGGGGGGCGGAAGTCATTTCTTAGCGAGACAGAAGTGAGCACTTAATTAAGCAAGCGCATTAATTGACGAACACAGTATGATGTCATAAGGAAGGGCAAGACACAAACGAGCGGAAACACTTCAAATGGCATTTACTTTAAAAAGCGAAAGCTCGCTCCAGAAAATCTGGGTTGTAATGTGAACGAGAGTAAATATGTTAGGGCTGGACAGCCGTCGGCTTTCGTCCGTCGGTATTTTGTTCTTTTGTGCTCGATGCTGGGGTGCCTTCGTACTATCCAGGGGGAGAGCTATATAGTGCGCAGGCTCCGAACAGGTTCCACAGCCCAGCAGACAAAGATTGTAGAGCGCAGAAGGTGATTGTTGGAATGGTCTACAGCTTGCTGAATTTGGCGACGCTCCACGCACTTATCCAGATGAGCGCCCGGAATCCTTCCAAAGACGAGTTGTCCGCCGCGTTGGTCTGCCCTGACGGCGTTGTCCGGCACGGCGCTGCCGCGACCGGCCGTGGTCCAGCTGAACAGCAGGCCATCGGTCTCCAGCAGATACTGGAAGTGCATCCGGGAGACCATCGCCTCGCCCACACTCACCAGGCAAGAGGGCCTGCGTAACACCACGGCGCGCGAGATCATCGTTGCGGACGATGAGCGGTCCTACTGGTATACCGTCCAAAAGGAGGTGTCTATTTCACCGTATACCATACAGCCAGAACAAACGATTTTTTTAAATAAAAATTTAACTTAGAGAAGATTGTACATTATTTGTCGACCTCATCGTTACAGGTGATCGAGCCTTGGGAAACGGAAAAGGCTTGAGGAGTATTCGCCTCAGATGTGAGGTTCAAAACGTCAGCGAATAGCGGATGTTGATGGTGTCATCACCATCATCAATATTGGCGTCCCAGTTTTAATGACGATGCTTATCGCGCTATACCGCACGACTAATATTTTAGAAAATCAGATTATCTGAAGCGGACTTTCCGGTTGAGGGGGGCAATGAACGCGCCATGCCTCCCCGACGTCACAGAAGTCATTGAAACGGGACAAAAGTCATCCAGACGGGAGCGCCTGGACTCCAGGTGACTTATTTTGTTTCGCTGCTCTCAAATCAAGGACGATCACCAGACAATATTGTTAGCAATCAGGAGATTTAAATCGGAAAGCAAGTCAAAAGCTTGTAGGTGGCCTCCGAACCTGGCTGCTCCCAGACAGAAGTTGCTATACGATCCCTGGAGGATCTCCGAGCGCGCGGCTCGGGTTTCACGGCAGAGAGGCCCCCTCTCTGCCGTGAAACCCAAGCCGCGAGCTCGGGTCTGCAAGCAAGGTTCGAAGGCGACCGCCCTCGCCCATGGAGAAGGGCATTTCTTCCGAGACGGCGAGCCCAACCTACCGCTTTGCGGACGGCTCATTCTCATGTATTCCCTTACGTAATCAGTGTAACCTTTTAAATAAATATGAATCTGAATAAACAGTTAAAAGGAATCGCACTAGAAATGATTTTTTAATTGGAGCGAATATTCTAACAATATGTTGTCTCGAGCAAAACAGGACACTACCGAGGCTTCACGTTTTGTGCTCTGACCGAAAAGGTTGGCCAGCAGAACAAAACGGCCGGTTACTTGCCTTGACCCACGCACGACAAGGCAGGGCGTCCAAAACGACTGGTGCTCGGCGCGGCCCGCGTACAAGAGCGACCCGTTGTCGAACCCCGCGGCCACGGCGGATCTCGGCAGGTGGCCGTCGGTTACCGTCACCCATTGCTCTGCGACACGGTATCACATGCGTTCCTCGATTAGCACTTATAATCGAACCTGGAGGCGGAACACGTGCACTTATCGACACCATGTGTGTCGTTCGGTGACAAGCTCGGGCCATAAATTCTGAGTTTGCGACATCATAGCGTGATGACGTTCTATGGAAACAAAGAAGCTAGGCTATCCATGGGCTCTGATCATTCTAGGTGACGTAGGCCATGTACTTCTATGCGCCCCTCCCCCCTTAAAACGGTCGTAAAACAAATGAAATGTAACAATATCCTCCAAATTTTCCGCTGAATATCTATATACGGTTAAAGGTTAAGAGTAAAGTAGAAGTCCCTCCAAGCTCTTTCCACTTTAAAAGAGCGAGCACTTCAGAGGAGGTGACCTCCTCGCCAGCGTTCGCTATGCTAAAGTGGCAAGAGTTGGGAACAGCTTGCACTTTACTCTTAGCAGCTGTCCCCGACTGCGCGTCTCCGCTCGAAGGCAGCCGACCGCGATCCCCTCGCCGCCAACCTATGACCGGCGACGACGAAGCATCCTGAGTGAGCTGATCGTCCACGTCCTCCCAGAGGTCGTCCAGGACCGCGGCGGCCGTCGGGGCCACGCTTCGATTCTGGTTCGCATGAGACGCCGGCGTCGGGTCTTCGGAGGCCGTCCTGTCGGTGCGTGCTGACTCTCCGCGGCGGTTCCCGTCCTGGGGATCTTCGCCGACTGAAAGGTAAACAGAGGGCAGAGATGGAACACCGTGCGACTCGCGCTTGAACTCGGCATGAACATGCATACAGCTCTTAACGACATGTCCCCACGTGGAACATGCCTATCTTTCAGACGTTACAAGCCGATGGAGCCGATCAGGGAGCCCCGAAGCCGCAACGTCGCGACTGTCGTCTTCTTTGTCTGTGTGTGTCAACATCGTGCAACTCGGCAGAGGGCCCCTTTTAGAATAGGTACTTCTGGTGTCTGGAACGCGTCCAAAAAAGTGGTGCCTCGATTGCCGCCCGATGACGTCACTAAATCGTCACGCTGTCGCCGATCGCGATCCTGGTGGTGTCACAGCAGTTGTGGTGGATGTAGCAGACGCCTGTTTCGCCGCAGGTCGCTCTCCGGCTTGACAGTGCACGGAAGCTTCAGAAGCCAGGGGTTGGGACGCCGCGACGACAGCGACACTCGTGTTCGCTCGCGCTTTTCCCCAGCATCTCTACGGTCAACCGCCAGGATCGCGACGTATCCGACGTCAATATTGCCGCGCGCAGGGTCACGAACTTCGTCGCTTCGTTCGGGATTTCGCACGGATTTCCGCACCGCTCACAAACCTCACGAAGGACGCCGAGAGGTTCGAATGGGCCGAGGAACAGCAGCAGGCATTCGACGAGCTGAAGCGACGACTCCAGACGCCTCCGGTTCTTGGACATTTCGATCAGGATGCGGACACCGAGATTCACACTGACGCAAGTAACGCAGGACTTGGCGCGGTACTAGTTCAAGTACAAGAAGGCACCGAACGAGTCATCGCCTACGCAAGTCGGACACTGTCCAAGGCAGAGAGAAATTACTCCACGACTGAGAAAGAATGCCTTGCGGTCGTCTGGGCAATCACGAAGTTTCGTCCGTACTCGTACGGAAGCCCGTTCCGCGTAGTCACGGACCACCACTCGCTCTGCTGGCTTGCGAACCTCAAGGACCCGTCAGGACGCCTCGCTCGATGGAGCCTCCGGCTACAAGAGTTCAACATGACTGTGGTTTACAAGTCAGGACACAAGCACAGCGACGCTGACTGCCTGTCCAGGGCCCCTGTCGAAACACCTTCCGGCAGCAGCGACGACGACGATGACGAGTGCTTTCTAGGGGCAGTGAACACCGATGACATGGCACGACGTCAACGAGACGATCCGGAGCTGCGAGCCTTAATCGAGCACCTGGAAGGGCGCGGCGGTACCGTACCCCGTGTTTTCTCACGAGCCGTGCCGACCTTCACCATTCGGCAAGGTGTACTCTACAAAGAAAACTTCGGGAACAACAACTCGCCGTGGCTGCTGGTAATACCGACCGACCTTCGAGGGGAGATCTTTCAAGCATGTCACGACGACCCGACGTCCGGACACCTTGGATACAGCCGGACACTGGCCCGTATTCGTGAAAAGTATTACTGGCCCAAGCTCCCCAAGACCGTCCACCTGTACACACGATCATGCCACGAGTGCCAGCGACGCAAGAAACCTCCGACGAGGCCGGCCAGACTCCTGCAGCCTATTTCTCCTCCAACTGCACCCTTCCAGCAGATCGGAATGGATCTACTTGGTCCTTTTCCGCCTTCGACGTCGGGGAACCGCTGGATCATCGTCGCCACAGATTATCTCACGCGGTACGCCGAAACGAAATCTCTTCCTTCGGGGACTGCTGTGGAAGTTGCCAAGTTTTTCATTGAGTCTATCGTCCTCCGGCACGGCGCTCCAGAAGTTTTGATTACAGATCGCGGATCATCGTTCATGGCACAACTGACCCAAGAAATCCTCCGACTCAGTCACACCAGCCATCGTCGTACAACTGCGTACCACCCGCAGACCAACGGGCTGACGGAGCGACTCAACAAGACAATCGCCGATATGATCTCTATGTACGTCGACGTAGAGCACAAGACGTGGGACGAGGTGCTGCCCTACGTCACGTTCGCCTACAATACGGCGGTTCAAGAGACCACTGGATTCACCCCTTTCCAGCTGGTACATGGTCGGAAGGTAACGACCATGCTGGACGCCATGCTGCCCCATGAGCCATCTGACAACGAGAGCGACGACGCCCAGGCGGTTGCTCAACGCGCCGAAGAAGTTCGCCAGCTCGCCCGACTCCTGATTCAAGACCAGCAACGCGTCGACGCCGGCCGCTACAACCTTCGTCGCAGGGACGTCCACTTCCAGCCCGGAGATAGGGTGTGGGTATGGACGCCCATCCGTCGCCGCGGCCTCAGTGAGAAATTGCTGAAACGATACTTTGGACCCTACAAAGTGCTTCGTCGCCTCGGTGATCTTAACTACGAAGTCCTCCCCGACGGAACGCGCCCATCTGCAAGACGTCAGCCGCGACCCGAGGTGGTGCACGTCGTCCGGCTGAAGCCGTATTTCGAACGATAGAACTTTCCACTCTCGTCAACGGGTGAACTGTGAACTGCGGCTCGTGGTGGTGGTGGTGCGCCGTTTAGGTTTTACGTCACCTAGGTTAGCCTAGCCCCAATTAGCTGGCATGGGCAGGTGACGAGCTCTTAAAGAGCTGTTAAAAAAAAAAAAAACATTATTTTGTTATGTTTTAGATACAACTACAGTCGGTCGATCAAGCCAATCTCCCGCAGGAAGCGCAGCACCGCCTTGAACACTTTCTGACACTTCCTTCGAGGTCCATCTGGGAAGAGGATATCGACTGTTGCTCCCGGATTATCCATGCCGATTTGTTCATACAGCACAGTTCGTTGAGCTTCGTATGCCGGGCAGGCGCGGAGAATGTGGTGCACAGTCTCTTCCTCGTCGCATTGCGAGCATTCTGACATCCGCCGTTTTCCCATCTTGACCAGAAAAGCCTTCGTGTTGGCCGTGTTTGTGCGCAAGCGTCGCACCAGAGTCTCTGCCGCCCGTGACAATCCAGACAGGGCTCCTTTTGGCAGCGCCGGCTCGTTACTTGCATTTAAAAGGTACCAGCGGACGTCAAGTGCAGCCTGTTGCGGATTTGCCGGTGACGGGACAGCCGGGATTTCCAAGTGAGCAGCTGCGGCCAGCCTGTCTGCCTGTTCATTCCCTTCGATCCCCGCATGCCCTGGAATCCACTGGAGCCACGCTGTGGATCCGCGTGCTTCCAACGATGCTAGTGACTTTCTTACGGCGGTCGTTGCTGGGTCCCCGCACTCTGCATTCGCAATCTTCTGAAGGGCGCATCTCGAGTCGGTGAGCACCACCATTCCCTGTGGTGGCAATAGGGTGGCAGCTTGGAGGGCTTTATCGATGGCCACCAGTTCGGCCACCGTGGAAGATGTGGGTGTTTGAAGTCTCCCGCCCCACTCCCAGCCTTTCTCTGGTATGCAGTAGGCCGCAGTGCTGGAGGTTCTTGCTTTGTTTACGGACCCGTCCGTGTATATTCGAAGCTTTCCCCTATGGTGTTCTTCCAAGTGTGCTTCAACTGCTGCTCTGATAGCGATGCCTGGCCTATCTTTCTTGGAACGCAGGTGCTTGATTCTTACGTCACTGGACACCTTGATTACGTCCCATGGAGCCATCCTTGCTTCGTCCGTCCTCGTCGGTAGTGGGTCCGTGACATTGTGGAACTCTTCTACCGCCTCGCTCCATAGCGATTTCATCCGGGCCTGGACTCGATGTAGGAACCATCTGCCCGGGTGGGTCATAGATAATCGCGCCAGCTGGTGAAGTCTCCTTCCTTTGGCCTGTCTTGCGAGCGACTCTGTCCCCGCCTCCAGAAGGACCGCGTCGTTCCTGGCAGCGTTGGGAATCCCCAGTGCTGTTCGTAGTCCATGCCGATGTCGTTGTTCCATCCTCTCCAGGTCCGTCCGAGATGGGGCCATGTATGGGAGTCTATACATTACCCTTGACGTTACAAGCGCCGTGTGGGCAGCTGTGATGGTCCGCTCCGTGCATCCCCACGCGGTTCCAGTCATACGGCGAACAGCGTTCATGGCATGCCTGCATGTTTCCGATGTCGCTTTTACGGCTTGTGCCCATCTCAACCTGCTTGTGATGACGATTCCCAGGAACCTCTGCTTGGTGACCTTTGTGACGTTCTCCCCCGCTAACACGATGCTTGGCGGTTGAAACCTTCTTCCATTCCGCCGTACCGGCATCCAGACGGTCTTGCTCTTTGACAGGGACAACCCCGATTCAGCCAAAAACTCGTCTACTGCTTGCGTGGCGTCTTGTATGCTCCGGTGTATCTGTGTTGTGTATATTCCTGCCACCCAGAGGCACACATCGTCTGCATAGATAGACACTTGTACCGGGAGTGCGGTTGGTGGGATGGCGTTCGGTAGTGTAGCCATCACGATGTTAAAGAGCACCGGGCTCAACACGCTTCCCTGTGGCAACCCTCTGTGCAGCACCCTTGGCGAGGACACTGTACCTTCGGACCTGATCTGAATTTTTCGCCCGGTTAAAAAATTTGCCAGGAACTTTTGAATTTTACCGGTCAGGCCGATCTCAGTCATTCTCTTAAGGACTGTAGGGAGCGGCACGCTGTCGTAAGCTCGTTCCACGTCCAAGAACACCGCAATCGTGTTCCTCCGCCTGTTCTTGTTGTCCTCAATATCACTTGTTAGGTCCAGGATACTGTCTTGGGCTGCCAGCCCTCTCCTAAAACCGGTCATGCAGTTCGGGAGAGAGTGATGTTCTTCCAGGTACCAGCATATCCGAGCTTGCACCATCCTCTCGAATAACTTGCTTATGCACGAGGTTAGTGAAACTGGGCGGTATGACTCTGCCTTTCCTGGCGGTTTCCCTGCCTTGAGCAAAGGCACCACCATTGCTTTTTTCCACTCGTTTGGGACGTCCCCGGAGTTCCATATAGCGTTGAACCATTTGACCAGGGCATCTTGGGCCACTTCGGTGAGGTTCGTGAGTGCCTGGTACGGGACTCCGTCGGGTCCGGCTGCGCTCTTCTTCCGACATCTGCGAAGGGCACTCTGCAGTTCTTGGACTGTAAACTGGGCATCTAGAGGTCCCGACGCGGTGTTTGGTACCCCAGGTCTTCCCGCCGCCTCTGCCGGGGCGTACAGGGCGCACAGACTCTCCGCTGCTGCTTCTGGTGTTTCGTTGGCCGCCAGCGCCAAGACCTGCAGGGTATGTCTTGAACGGCTTTTCCCAGTCATTGTCCCTAGGACGGTCCACAGCTCATGGACGAGTGTGCGTTGGCATTCTTGCACATGAGTTTCCATCGATTCCTGACCAGCACCTTTGCGTGTCTTCGCAGCTTGGCCGAAACCCTGTTGAAACTGGTCTTGTCCTCGGGCTCTCCCGTCCGGCGGTACCTCCTCTGCGCCCTGGTTCGTGCCGCTCGAAGGTTTAAAAATGTGAGGTCCGGCTTTGGGAGCCATTCTGTGACGGAAGTAGTGCGTGTGGCCTTCTGTAACGCTTGAATTATAGCTGCTGGAATTTCTTTTTGGCTCAAATCCAGCGCTGCTCGAAAAACGTCCCAGTTAGTGCACGTACGCAAGACTTTCCTTGCCCCCTGACACCCCTTGATGGTGATGTGGATGGGGAAGTGATCACTTCCCCGTGTGTCCGGGGCTAGCTCCCACTTCATCTCCAGGGATGGCGAGTGCGCTGTCACGTCAAGAACACTGTACGAGTTCGGAGGCCTGAAGAACGTCGGCCGTCCATCATTCGCCACCGCAAGTCCCATCTGCTCTATTACTGTCATAAGGGCGTCCCCCCTCTTGTCTGTTCGAGCACTTCCCCAAGCCACATTATGTGCGTTGAAGTCGCCGCATATAAGCAACTCCTCTGATCGGTCCTTACACCATGCCAGAATTTCCTCGCTCGGCAGTTCTGTGCCATTTGGTCGTACATATCCCAAAAGAATGGCGAACGTTCGGTTCCCGATGCTCATCTCCCACGAACTCTGCTGAGATCGTGCAAAGTTGGCTGGTATCGAGTTGTACATGCGGTATTTCCTTCCGTATAAATAATACCGCGCTTCCATGTGGAAATCCTGGTATTGACTGTGTCGTTAGTCTAAAGTATCCAGGTAGCGATCTTTTGCCCGGCAGTCCCGCTTCCGTCAATGCCAGCACCGGGCTTGGGTTGCTTTGCAGATGCAGGCTAACCTCACTGTGCTTGGCGTTGAGGCCTCTGGCATTAAACTGTAGGACGGTCGGTGCCGTTCGAGTGATTGCGTTTCTTCTGGGGGTTTGTGCTGCCATCCCGTACCTTGCTTGCTTCTATGTGCTGCCCATCTAGAAGACAGCCCCAAGGAGGCCCTCCAGGAAGAGAAGACTGTTTAGTGTTGTGCGGAACTCCGATGGCGGCAACAGCTCGAGGAGCCGGCGCACTGTGTTGAACACCAAGCTGATAAATTTGCTCGCGGTAGACCGCTCAGCGGACTCTGGAATTGACGTCCCTTGCTTTGACAGTATCCCCTGTGTCTCGGGATGGTAACGTGGCTTTTTTCTATCCGCCGCCGGATTTGGGGGGGAGCCCTGAGTGACATCGCGATAGGTGAGACCCCTAGCGTGGTTGTCCCTGCCACCGTTGTGTAGGTTATCGGCCTTTGCTGCCCCTGCCGGATTAGAACTGCCTTGTACCCCAGGGTCCACGCCTTGCGCGGCGGTCTGACTTTTAGGCTGCGAGGTGCCCGCTCCGGGTTTCTCTACATGTTGATTGTTGCGCCTTTTGATTTTTCGCTGTTCCTCGACTACCTTGGCCGCTTCCAGGAACGTGATGTTCTCTCGCACCTTGACCTTGCAGGTCTCCTTCTCCTTTTGGAGCTTTGGGCACTCCGTTGAGGTTGCTTCGTGCGCTCGCTGACAATTTACGCACTTCTGTGCTGAAGTGCAGTTTTCTTCACCATGAGCCTGTGCGCATTTGGGACAAATGGCGCTGTTAGGACAGGTTGCCACTACGTGTCCGATGCGAAAGCACTGTCGGCACTGTAGGGGACGCTGGACGAAAGGCCTAACGCTGTGCCTTACTAATCCAATCTTGACGTGGGCAGGAAGCGTGTCACCCTCAAACACAACCTTGACTGCTTGCGTTTTGCCTAGCCGCCTAACTTGCACGACGCTCACTCCGCTGCCGATTATCTTACTCAGCCTGTCTTCGGTGATATCGGTGTCGACGTCCGAAATTACCCCTACTCTTGAGTTCTTCGAGCGAGGGAGAAAAGCTCGTACAGGCACCCCGCATATTTTGGTCAGAATGAGGAGCTCTAGCACCCCCGCCTCCGTCCTCGCATCCGTGGCTATTATGTTTTTCCGTGTGTTTACTCGTACCTCGCTAAACTGACCGGGAGCCAGTGCTTCCAGTTCGTCCGATAGCAGCTGGCGGTTGATTTTCCTCAGATTCGTGGCGGGAACGGTTGGCGCGAACAGAACGGTGCGTGCCGTATTAGGAAGTTTCACGATACCTTGGCTCCGTTGAGATCCTTCGTGTCGAGTCCTCTTTTTCTTTCTGTTGACTGTTGTGAAGTCGCCGTCCTCCTTGCTACCGAGAACGCTGCCGTCCATGGCCCCTTCGTCGTCTTGTAGCATTGATGTTGTGTGTGCGAACTCGCCGGAGCTGCTCTCGCTCAGGTGTCGCTTTGCTGGCGTGGGGGTCGCTCCTCCGTCCGGAAGTTGGCTGGCGTGGGACATCGTTTGGGAGGCCGGAACCCGCTGTACAGGGTGCTGTCCCCCGTACGGGGTGGTGACGCCAACCGTGGCCAACGCCTACGAACTTCCTATCCACTTTCCGAAAAACACCCCCGCCCACTGGACTAGAAAGAAAGAATTTCACGTCCCGAGAAAACCGTGCGAACCGGTAGCCACGAGCGCTGAACTCGAAGTCCACTGCGGCTCGCGATTCTGCTGCCTTTTTGTTCTGGATTTGTTTTTGTTTGTTGTTTTTCGTTTTGTGTTGCATCGGGACGATGCACTTTTTAAAGGGGGGGGATAATGCCGCGCGCAGGGTCACGGACTTGTAGAAAGTTCTCGTTTACTCTTGCTGCGGACATAACTATCGTTCATCCCTGTTTTTGTTGTTCTAGAAAGTGATTGTTCATTCTCGCCCCGAGCGCGCTGCGCTCGAACCTTCTCCGCCGAATCTTCGAGATACTGACTCACTCTAGATAAGAGGCCGCCCGCGACCTTGTCGAGTCAGTCTCGCCCCAGCGCTCGATTCTGCTGACACGCCGACTTCGACGCCCGCGACGCTCTGCTTTCTTCTGTTTCCTTCTTTATTTTTGGCACAAGTTCGCCACATTAAACGTTTATTTATTTCTGTTTATTTCTTGTTTATTGGTCACGACTCACCACCCGTGACAATATACGTGACGCTCTGGCTTTTGTGACATCATTTGTTGCTACTCGGGGACCACTTTCGACGCATGCGCTGGATGGGACGCTACACGCACCAGTCGGAGACGTGTTCCAGGCACCGTGCTTTTCTACTAGCTTAACAAACGGAGGGCGTGGCTTATCATGTTCCCGCTTCGTGATTGGTCCTTAGGCGTTCTTATCGGCTAACGCCGCAACCTCATTGGCTGCGGAGAGATAATAAGATGCCCGGCCAAGGCCCGCGTTTCTTAGGCTCTTGGTGACCATAGCCTTAGACTGCGCCCTAGCATGGGCTGTCGACACGTGCGCGCGGCGTACTATCGCGGACAATATGAGCTGAAACAGCGCTCCGGCCTGTGCACGGTACTACCTGCGCCGCCTGTCGCACCGCTCTGTAAACACGGCGCACCCTGAGGCCGAGATAAATTCTCACTTGCGCTCACTGCGCCGCTGCGCTCTTCCGGCCGTCTGCTAGCGAAAATATTGGTCGACGGAACCACCATCACGATGCGTGTGCCGTGTAGCCCAATGTTTACGTCTTCAGCTAACGTGCATATCAGTGCATTTCAAGAAAGCGCCGAAGTGGAAAATGCGTTGTCACGCTCGTATCTCCTCGAGGAGCGCTGCCTGACGAAGCTGCTTTGGCCCCCAAAAGGAGCCGATCTGAATATCATCGAAAACATTTGGAGGCGCATCAAGGTAGCCATGTCACGGCGTCCGCTCCACCGCGCCACTGCCCACAAATTGTGGAAAGCAATCAGAGGTGAATGGGCGTGGCGTCGGGTTGAGCCAGACTTTGTGGCCGCGCTCTATGATTTCTTACCAGACAGGATGAGAGCCGTGGCCGCGGGTCAAAGGAGAATGACGCGGTATTAAATTATTTTGTAAGCTTTACTATGCCTCAGGACCCCCCGAGCCGGACTTCTGCCGATTGGAACAAAGCTTGATGCTACGGTTGCGACATACTGTTTAATGCCTTTAACCACGCATACTTTTGTTTGGTGGCTCCTTGATCCCGATCTTCTTGTATATATAGTGTAGTTGAACTTCCACGCCGACTATTAATCGTTTGTGCCTTACATTGTCGTCTGGAAATTTTCTTTCGATTAAGTTTACATCTCCTTCTTCGGGAAAATATATGATTGTTTGTCCCACCTTATTAAGACTAGGAATTTGTAAACAAAAAAACTAGTGTCTGTCAGCAACTTGTTTTGTTTGAAAAACAACAGGTGGGCCCAGTAATAAAGGAATTATATTTTTGAACATTTTCATACCAAACAAGGTTACAAAACCTTCTCAGTAACATGTATGCTCACAATTTTTTTAAACATTTGTGATCGATGAAAAAGAAAAAATAGTAAATACATTGGAGCCAGACTAAATCCGGCATACAAATTTTGGCCTATATTTTTCGATGTCCTACTTTGTGCATGCCCCTATAATCAAACAGGAACAACCTCCAACGTCTTTTGATGTGACTTTCAAAAACGATAATCGCAGTTGAAATTTAAGACACTTCAATATTTTTTCTTCACCAGTCAGCGTTTTTTTTACTGGATTCTGCGTGATAGAGTAAAGTTAATCAATTCCAAAAGAGGAACGACAAGTGTAATTTTTTGTTCGCCCCGCCGCCCTACCACACACATGCCCGCTGTCGCACCCGCCGTCTCGCTTGCAGACGGCCGGAAGAGCGCAGTGGCGCAGCGAGCGCAAGTGAGAATTTATCTCGTACTCAGGGTGCGTCATGTGTGCGGAGCAAGGCGACAGGCGGCGCAGGTAGTACCGTCCGCCGGCCGGAGCGCTGTTTCAGCTCATATTGTCCGCGATAGTACGTTGTTCCGCAGACGAGAGCTATAGCGCGTGCTCATAACGTAATTCAGGGCCCAGTGTGCAAGAGACGTCATAACTACAAGAAGTTCGCCGACTTTTACCGACAAAACAAATTCAAAAGCACGCAGAAGGCAATGATGGCATGTGACTATGGAACGCAAACCCTACCTTCGTAAAAGGGTGGAAACCGGTTTAAAGGTATCAGTTTTTGTTTACGCTAACCAAATTTGGCG